GCCCATGGTGTTAGAGACAAGGTACTAGCATGGATAGAAGATTGGCTGTATGGCAGAAAGCAGAGAGTGGGAAAAAAAAGGTCCTTCTCTGGATGGCAACCAGTGATTAGTGGTGTTCCACAAGGGTCAGTGTTGGGACCACACTTTATACATAATGATCTAGTTGAAGGAAGTGAGGGCATTCTGGATAAGTTTGCAGATGATACAAAGATAGGTGGAGGGACAGGTAGTATTGAGGAGGTGGGGAAGCTGCAGAAGGATTTACACAGGTTGGGAGAATGAGCAAAGAAGTGGCAGATGGAATACAACATGGTAAAGTGTGAGGTCATGCCCTTTGGTAAGAAGAGGCATTGATTATTTTCTAAATGGGGGAAAAATTCAGAAATCTGAACTGCAAAGTGACTTGGGAGTCCTAGTCTAGGATTCTCTTAAGGTAAACTTGCAGGTTGAGTCAGTAGTTAGGAAGGCAAATACAATGTTGACATTTATTTCAAGAGGACTAGAATATAAAAGCAGGGATGTACATCTGAGGCTTTATAAAGCTCTGGTCAGACTACATTTAGAGTACTGTAAATAATTTTAGTCCCTATATCTCAATAAGGGCGTACTAGCCCTGGAGTGGGTCTGGAGGAGGTTCACAAGAATGATCCCAGGAATGAAAGGCTTAACATATGAGGAACGTTTGAAGACTCTGGGTCCATACATGATAGAATTTAGAAGGATATGGGGGGATCTAAATGAAACTTACAGAATATTGAATGGCTTGGACAGATCAGATTTTGGGAAGAAGTTTCTATTGGCAGGAGAGATTAGGACCTGAGGGCACAGCCTTAGAGTGAAGGGAAGACCCTTCAGAACAGAGATGAGGAGAAACTTCTTCAGCCAGAGTGGTGAATCTATAGAACTCATTGTCACAGAAGGCTGTGGATGCCAGGTCTTTGAATATATTTAAGACAGAGATAGATAGGTTCTTGATTGTCAAGGGGATCAAGGGTTATGGGGAGAAAGTGGGAGAATGGGGTTGAGAAACTTATCAGCCATGGTTGAATGGCAGAGCAGACTCGATAGTCTCAATGGCCTAATTTCATAATGTCTTATGGTATTATTTTAACACCTATGCCAGGCCTAGTTTAAACTCTGCTTTGAAGCCTTTTACTTCAAGTAAGACTGACCAGAATCCCAAGTTTCCTTCCCCTAAGAAATCTGTTTTTACTAACTTTTCTTTATTTCCAATTTCTTGAATCAGCAGCTTTTAAGAGACTTTTTGCTTTTTCCCTTTAACACCTGAAAACTCTGGCAACCCATCCTCCTCCCTGCTCCCGCTGCAGTTTCCCCATGGTTTTCTAATGTGGCCTGTCCAAGCATGGATTGAATCTTTTCCCCCTTTGTAATGGCGTCTCCTAGTCTGATGCACCTTTCCTCTGTGCCTCATTTTCACCAATCATGGATGCAGGAAGTTTACGTGAATGACCCCTCCACTGGCTGCTATCCCTACTTTTCAGACACCACTTCATACAATTTTTGACTTTCACAGTCCTTTCAACATGTAAATGCAACAAATGGAGCTTGAGAACAGCTAAGCTCTCACCGAAAACCACCATCGCCATTTAACCGTCAAGAATCTGATGGCTTGTGATTTCTACATGCTGCTTGTTAAATTTGAGAGTAGCATTTAATTCCATGTAGAGATATGTTAGTTCAAGTTGATTACCATTTTAATAATCACAATTACCTTACGCCCACTGCATATGGGATTGCTGCTTTGGTGCCTCATCATCCATGCGTTTCTGCCAGGGTTCCCAAAGTTGGCCCTTACGCACACGACCACCTTTACAATTTCCATCAGCCTTTCTGCTTCAGTGAGCTTAACTGAATTCTGCACAATAGGTGTGCTATGGTTATTTAGAATGCCAGCAATGCCTGGATATTCTGCAGGATGTGAACTGTGTTCTGTCTGTCAAGGGAAAGTTCTGAACACATGCTTAGGCTGCCTGCACAAGACTTCATTTGCCTGATGGTTATATTTCAATGTGGAGACACAATCCACTTTCTCACATCACCTTCAATTTTATGTAGTATTTTTAACTTTCAAAATTTCCAAAGGCAATTTAAAGATTATGGTGAGAAAATGAGGTCAACACAGGTTAACAGGCTAAGATGAAAATATGGGAAGATTTGTAAGGAAATGATAGCAAACTAGAATGAAGTAAAGGCATGAGGGAAATCTGAAAAAAGTGACAACATGAAAGTGACACACAGTAATTTTGTAAAATAACCAGAAAATCCAATAGTTTCTTTTTCAACTCTGGTTTCATGCCACAATGGAATTATACATCAAATAATGTGAATGCATAGTAGATTTGAGAGAGCTTGGCTTTTGTGTATTCCTGGGTTGGATCTGTATTAGGCTGCAAAGCTATGAAAAACACTACTTGCTCATATATCCAAAAGCAGTTGGCAGCAAAATGTTACTCGGAAATTCAATAAAATTTCAGTACATTTATGTCCTTAATTAAAAAATCCTTGCAGTTACATAACATCTTTAACATAATTAAAATGCTTTACATAATTAAAATCAAAAACAAATTCCAGCAGCAGAAAGGTCAATGTCAAAGCACCCCAATAGAGGATATACGTTGCATTATTTTGCGAAGTTTATTATCAGCAAAGGTATCTTTTTACATTAATTTTTTTGCCAGGTGACCATAATGATTCAAACACAGAAGCATTATTCTGCTTATGTTATGGATACAGCAAAAAAATAGATTGAACCAAAATACACACCAGAAATTGTACACAGCATACATAAAAATGGTCAAGCAGGCACTAATCAAAAAGCATATAATTTCAAAGCAGATTTCTCCACTAATAAAGTTTACATTTGTTGAGATATGAAAAGTGCTTGGGAATGTATGGCAAAATTTTCTCCTTCTCAGGATGCCAAGATGCCTGTCCATCACTTCCAATACACAAGTTAGGAATGTGGTGGAAAACTCCCCACTTGCCTGGATGAGTGTAGCTCCAACAACACTCAAGAAGTTTTATACCATCCAGGACAATTGATTGGCACCACATCGACAAACATTCACTCCCTCCATCACCGACACTCAATAGCGGTAGCGTGTATTATGTACAAGATGCACTGCTAAAATTTATCAAAGGTACTCAGACAGCACCTTCCAAACTCAAGGCTACATCCATCTAGATGACAAAGGCAGCAGATACGTGGGAATGCCACTACCTGTAAGTTCTCTTCCAAGCCACTCACCATCTTGACTTGGAAGTATATGCCCATTCCTTCACTGTCTTTGGGTCAAAATCCTAGAATTCCTTCCCTAAGGGCATTGTTTCTCAAACCACAGCAGGTGGATTGCAGTGATTCAAGAAAGCAGCTCACTACCACCTCCTCGAGGGTAATTAGGGATGGGCTATAAATGCTGGCCAGCCAGTGATGCCCACATCTCAGGAATGAATGAAAAAAATGAGAGCAAGAATGGTGACAAAATAAGATGAGAAGGAAGAAGTCAAATTCTTGATGTTCAGAAAAATTCTCTTGTTGTTTCCATTAAGCCTTAAATAGCAATTTCAGAACCTCATCCTTCATGGTGGTTACTTCATTTCCACGCATTTGCATCTCATTACAATCTTAACTCTATTTACTTTCCCAATTCAATTCTTCTCCTTTTCACTGAGAAATGGTGATAGAGTTAGATGGGCCAAATTTCTGACAGGTAAATCAATGTGATTACCTGGCAGCTGCAGCTTGCCAAATGCCTGTCCTGGCCATCATGCCAATGTTTCTTCTGGGTAACATCTCTGCAGATCAATGGCCACTAAATTCCTTGACCCCTCATCCACAAAACTCCAAACCACATCATATTATCATGTCTCTGTCAGATCAATTCAGCCACTTCAGGCCTTTAAACTTAATTCTGGAGCTTACAGACACCCACAGCTTTCATGTTCTTCAAGTAAATAGCTATGTCAATAGTGGGATAAAGTTGGAGTACAGTCATTCAGTGGGTATCACAAAAGTCAGTCAAGACATTTGTCTGATTACACTACAGGATTTTGATCATGGTCAGTCCTGCAGGTCAATTGCAGTCCGTGGATTACAGGTAGGCCAGTAAGGTGCTGTTGAACATTAGTCCAGGGACTGTGCCCATTTTACCTGCAATGAAACAAAGGAAGGGATTGAGTGTGTTGGAAACGGATACAAGATCAACCTGTGTAGCTGGAAGAGCAAGAAATGTGCCCAGTGAATAGGAAGTGCAGAGGTCATGAAAGATTAGTCTTTTAGCAGAATGAGCAGGGTGTGAATCTTTGAGTGGACAAGATGTATGCAATACTGTGGGTCACACTCCATCAAGTCTATGGTGATGTTAGACTGAGTGATAGCTCTGTGAGCATGAGGTAGCTGATAGAAGATAGTAGCACTCTTGTGAGTGCAGAAGACCACTGACACTGCTGCAGCACTTCTCTCATCCCTTTTCCCTCAGATATCCGAGCTGGGTGGGTCTGTTGATGTGGTCCCCTTTATCAGTTAGCAGGACAAAAGGACTGCTCTCCTCTCTCATGTTCCATACACCAGTACTTCCAAGTCCCTGCCCTGAAAGCAGGGAGCTAGCTTACCTTTCCCTGTGATATTTGAGTGTTGAGCACACAATTTGAGAAGTAGTTCCTGGTTTACAGCTTCCGAAGTGGTGTGCAGTTGGATTTTAAAGATCATGCTGGAGGCTTCTAAGTCTGAAGTCACAGCAGTGGCAAGTACTTCAGCACATTTGGCTTTGTGATTTCCGAAGAAATGTGTTTAGTAGCTTGTTTGCAGAAGTAATGATGTGAAAATTGGATGATTGTATTAGAAAATTTGCCCAGGCCATGCTGGACTGGATGCCACGAAACTCACTCTCTGCTAACCTCAAAGGGAAAATTCAGCAAATAGATTTTATTGAACATCATGAGTAGTGTGCCACCACTCAAACAACAGACTGAAGTGTAAATTAGAACGTTGATGTGTTTAATGAAAAATAATAAAACTAACACATACATAGCATGCTAAACCTTGACATAAATAGCTACAGGATAATTATGAACACTGCACTGCACATTACTTACTGTTGTGCCAAAAGCTGTGCTGCATCTATGTGTTAATGCAGTGATATATCATTTAATCCATGGTGAATAACAACTCCTTTGAAAATCTGAACTACATTTTTACACTAAACCGCTATCATTTAATAGTGATGTACTCTTGCAAATCCTATTTTCATTGTTCTGGATTCTTATTCTATTGAAAGGAACATTTTAAATTCCTAAACAAAAATGAAACATGAAATGAACACTAGAGTTACTTCATTGTCATATCAGTTGCATTAATGTTATTTTGTCCTATGAAACAGTTAACCTTTCAATTATTATCACATTTTAAAGTAATTTCAAAGTTAAGGAGCTATGTCTAATAAACACAACTTATCCACAAGTAACAGAATGGAAATTTAATGAAATGCTCATCCTAAATTACCAGAAGCAGAATTTTAGAAAAACAAAATCCAGTACAGACTAAGTCGTCAACCATGTTTCGCATCTAACTGTATGGTACAATAATATAATTATGTCTTGGACCTTTGGTGAGCAATATCCATTTCCTTAGCAACATTAAATTATTAAATAAACTTAATTTCCATGTTATTATACAGAAAGTACATCTTAGGATAGCATGATGCTTGGAGTAATGATTATAAAGAACATTCCTGGCAATGCTAGGAACAGGTGAGGTTAATCAATTTTTTTCCCAGGAAAACAACAGAATAGGAATAAAAATATTTAACAGATTCTTCCAATAGTGTGTAGACATCATATTACTAAAATGTTTACCATTGCTAATCACTGCACTTTACTATTTTAATACTGAACTCATTTAATGTACTTAGTTTAAAACGTGGCATAAAAACAAACAACTGAATCATATCCTCCTACTTACAATCTGAGTTCATCTTCTGAGATAAACTGTAAATTCTCACAAACTATTGACTAGTCTACAATTAATACAGAATCCATCATTAGACAGCAGGGAAAGAAACAGAGATGAAGTTCCAAACATGATTTGTCCATAATTTACAGTATAATTAAACAAATTTAACATAGAGGTCATAATTTCATGAAGTTGAATGGCTTTAAATAGAATAAATTTTTGGCAAAATATCACATAACAGTTACTCTTTCTGGAGATGCTTGAAGAAGTATTGTTGAAGTATCATTTGTGAGTTGGCTCTTTTCCCAACCCTTACGTATTTTCCTCAGTCTTCTATTGATACATGGAAACAACAAAATAAGTTTCCCAATGATGACTGTGAAAGGCAGAATAAGAGCTAGTATAAAGTTTGGCGGTGTGTAAAATCTGTAGTACTGCTCCTCAAAGGCTCGTTTCCATCCATAAATCAGAACATGGAAGGTGCTGATAAGAAGGGCCACATAACCAAGTGTAGACTTCAGGAGAAAAGAACAGATAATATTTTCTTAGTAAGATCTGTTTTCACTATTTTTTCACTATTCATTTTACGAAATGGTGCTCACAATGTTTCTCTAAATGGTAATTTTTATGTGAATCATATGCAATGAGGCATGAATATAAATACTAAATTCTAGATCATGTGCTCTTCTTTCTAAACATGACCATTGTTTCTTTAAATGGAAATAATATAAGAATCCAGCCTTTACAGGGATTAAAGAACTATGGGAGGAAAATAATAGCTTTGTCTATGATGCATTATTAATTGGATTCCATCTTGCTGATCTTCCAAACATAGATAGAATTAAAACTAAGGGCAATTTGATAAAATAAAGTATTTTTGGTGGTGTCAAAGATGGTCTTGCTGGTGTTAATGTCACACAAAGGTTTAGGATGGTGCAATAATATATTTCCAGCTGCTAAATCATGGAAGAACATTTAATGCAATTATGTAGGTGTTAAGCAGATAAAGGTACACCCTTCTCATAAGTGATGGACAATCTGCTTCCAAAAGTAGGGAATATCCTGTGCTGAAGATTAAACAAACTCAAAAATTGTACTGATGGAAGATGTACATTTGTCCCATGATATCAGATTAATACCCTATTTATACCTGGTGTTTAAAATCATCTGGGTCAGATTCTATTAGATTGAGAAAATAATCATACATTTCTGAATTACAATTTCAATGTAATCCATATATTACAATTGATTGTGGATTTGTTCTAGGAAGGCTGGAGCTAGTGAGACCAACAATTGATTGACTATTGTAAGATGCAGTGCAGGTTTTAAATGTTTATACTTTGAACATTGTGTTTAAATGAATTTAGGGAAAAAATAAATGACAGTAACTGAACCTAAGAATACTACAGTGGTGGCAGAAATTTCCTGTCTTGGAACTTCTTCAGCTTCAGTGTACAAAATTGCGAGGTTGTAATAAATTCTCATAATTTTACAGTAGTAACGCTGGTTAGATGTATGATTGCTGTAACATTATGCTACGTGTATACAGGTGAGAATAAATTCTAAAAAAAAATTTTGCTCTGCCATTTCACTTTTTTCCCTATTATTCTCTTCACCCATTATACAAACAATCATTTTTCTTGTCCTCTCTTGCTACTGAAGGTAGGCAGAGGCAGCAACAGAAATCATGGGTCCCAGTGCTGTTCCTTGCCTAAGCTCCCAACCACATGATCTGAGCACACCAAGCCTCCTAGATCCCTGGTTATTGGGGTCTGATATATCCGCTATCCCAGGCTTTCGGGAGAAGAAGTGTTTTCAACTTTGTTAGTCTATTTATCTATAAACAAGATATCTCCAAATTACAGAATTCAATAAAACCTAGTACACAGATACAGCATGGCTTAAAGAATAACTGATTATTTTTTGGCATTGTTAAAGTTGCTGATTCAAATCTGGAATTCTTTAAAGGATCTATTAACATTGACTTATTTGAAGAATGTTATGTGTTATTCTATATAGAATGTTGTTATTGGGGTTTTAGAAAGTTGCAGGTTGTTTTAGCTGCTGTGATAACATTTGCCACGCAGAGAACAGTCTCAAGGAAGAGATACACAATTGTTATAACATTGTGTTAAAACTTTATGGCAGGGATATCACTCTATTGCGTGCCCTCTTCAAATATTTTTTCCTAATTCACCATTTAACTTTAATTTCATCTATTATTTCATTTAATTTATTTTATTTTAAAGAAAAACACTTTCCTCACCTTTCATTAACCAACAGTCAAGTCTGGAAGTAAGATCACTATCTATCTCAAGGCTACACATATCATAGATCCTAGACTGTTACAGTGTAGATGCCAGCCAGGTAGACTTATTTAAACTGACAGCAGAGAAAGACACCGTTCATCCCATCATGCTCATGTTAGCTTTGTGAACAGCTATTCAAAATGGACTACATCCCAACTTCTTCCCCATAATCTTATAACATAGTCATCTTTAACTGTCTTTTGTATGTTCTTAGGAATATGATTCCACAACCCTTTCAAGCAACATGATGGAGTCCTTAACCTTCCAAATAAATTTACCCTGAATGTTCCTCTCATTCTTCAGCTAATTCTTTAAATTTATGACCTTTTCTTCCTATTGCATTTCAGCAGACGTATTAGAATGGAACATGAATAAGGAAAATACATCTAACAACACAGTTTCCACATTTACTCCCTGAGTAATACTGAATAGCAGGACATCCAGATATTCCCTGGCATTCAGAGTGATTGGCCAGATTTTCAAACTGGTAGAAGGAAAAGATGCATTTTAAAAACGTTTTTGAGACCATTTGGATTTGAATTTCCATACTGTATAGAAAACAAACACTTCCTGGCAATTCAAATAGTGTGAGATCTCCCAAAAGGGCACAGAAGCTCAACCAACAGAGAAACTGAAAGCATACAATTCCAGTGAAGTGAGAGGTTTTCTGGGAGTCATGAACTATTGTACGAGGAATATTCCAAACTTTTCTCCCCGCGTGATCCCATGAGGAAATTGAGTAGATCTGATACAAGTTCAGATTTGGTGAAGGATGGAAAGCTGCCGTGAAACCTTTGAAAGATCCACAAGAAATGTTCAAACCCTGTGGTGCTATTATCCAAATGCAAGTCAGAGCAGTCATAGAAGATACCTGTCCAATCAGATTAGGAGCAGTGTTAGTGTAAATGCAAGATGAGGGCCTGAGAGTTATTGCTGTGAGAGCAGGTCTCTGACAGGTGTAAAGAGGAGAGATTCTCAATTAGAGAAAGAGTCACCAGAATTTGTGGCATGTGAAAGATTCCATGTAGACTTCTTCATTATTGTATTTGAATTAGAGACAGACCACAAGTCATTAAGAATAATTCACTCTCCCAGATCCAAACCTTGTGCCAGAATTGAAAGATGGTGTTTGGAGACTCTGGGAGTACAAGTACAAAGTGGCTCATATTGCTGGAAAGATGGACATCTCTGACCCGCTGTCCCCACAACAGAGGGAGGGTCAAACACACAGATCTTCCCTGGAGAAGGAAACTGAATCATTGGTCTGGTTTGTGGCAGTTCATGCTGCACCCAAAACAATGACAATGAGAAAGATTGACAGAGAGTCAGACAAAGATCCAGAATCGGATGCCATCAGACAGGGAATCAGAGCTAGAAACCTGGAAAATTGCCCCTTCAAGGTGGACATTGGTGTACAAGATGAACGGTGCACGACTGAGAAATGTGTTCTCAGAGGCAACAGACTTGGACAGACACAAAGGCTTCGGTCTAGGCTGCAGGTAGAAGCACATGAGGATCGCTTGGGGCTGGTTGGTGCTCAGCAAAACTTATGTAGCAGAATCTGGTGGCCAGGGATGGAGAGCGACGTGGAGCAGTTTGTGGAAGCATGTTGTGGATGTCACCCTGCCAGCATCCCCAGTGCATCAGAACCAGTCCTCAGCACACTGTTACCAGCTGGACAAAAGAAGGAGATTTCACAGTTGCCCTCTGGAGATTAATGGCAGATTTTGAAGGGAAGAGTGACAGAACCTGAAGACAGACAACTATTGATACTATCAGTATACATGGAGAGTTTGATGATCAGCCATTTAGTGAGATCAATGTTGATGGAGCAGAAGGTGGGTCTCATGTACATGGTGAGATTTGAGGAAGAATGAGAGGAGATCAGAGGGAAACTGAGGGCTTGGGCAAATGGAAATGTTAGGGGCAATCTGGCCAATGTTCAGGCGGAAGGGAGGGAAGCAGCACAGACTTTTCTCCTTCAACAGAAGTTCAAGATCTTTTCTTTCCATGTCCTAACAGAATTTTGTCATGCTTTGGCCGGCAAACTATTTAATTTAACTTAATTTGTCTTTATTTTTGTGCATAATTATCCCTGATAATAGAACAATAAACAGTTGAATCCCTTGATCTGGTTTTGAACATAAATCCTAATTAAATTTATTGCTAAAGATTATTATTATTATGGTTACTTAAATGATTTGGATGTGGACATAGGAGGTATGGTTAGTAAGTTTGCAGATGACACCAAAATTAGTGGTTTAGTGAACAGTGAAGAAGGTCACCTCAGAATACAATGGAACGTTGATCAGATGAGACAATGGACTGAGGAATGGCAGATGGGGTTTAATTTAGATCAATGTGAGGTGCTACATTTTGGAAAGGCAAATCAGAGCAGGACTTATACATTTAATGGTAAGTTCCTGGGGGGTGTTGCTGAACAAAGAGACCTTGGAGTGTAGGTTCATAGTTCCGTGAAAGTGGAGTTGCAGGTAGATAGGATAGTGAAGAAGACATTTGGTATACTTGCCTTTATTGGTCATTACATTGAGATAGGAGTTGGGAGGTGATGTTACAGCTGTACAGGACGTTGGTTAGGTTGCTTTTGGAACACTGCATGCAATTCTGGTCTCCCTGTTATAAGAAGGATGTTGTGAAACTTGAAAGGGTTCAGAAAAGGTTTACAAGGATGTTGCCAGGGTTGGAAGGTTCAGCTATAGCGAGAATCTGAACAGGCTGGGGCAATTTTCCCTGGAGTGTCGGAGGCTGAGGGGTGACCTCATAGACGTTTATAAAATCATGAGGGGCATGGAGAGGTAAATAGACAAAATCCTTTCCCTGGGATGGGGAAGTCCAAAACTAGAGGGCATACGTCTAAGGTGAGAGGGGCAAGATTTAAAAGGGACCTAAGGTGCAACATTTTCACACAGAGGATGGCATAATAATGGAATGAACTGCCAGAGGAAGTCTGGAGGCTGGTACAAATACAATATTTAAAAGGCATCTGAATGGGTATATGAATAGGAACAATTTAGAGGGATATTGGCCAAATGCTGGCAAATGGGACTAGATTTATTTAGGATAACTGTTTGGCATGGATGAGTTGGACTGAAGCGTCTGTTTCTGTGCTGTACATCTGTATGCTGTATGCTTCAAACTGATCCCAGAGTCAATTCCAAGAGGAATTTGTGAGCTTTGCTGTCCCA